CTCCATTAAGCTAAATGTTTTTCAAATCCATAGCAAAGGTGGCTCCTTCTCTGAAGAGCTTTACAATTTAAATTAAGGAAATATTAGTCATATTATCATGACAAACACATAAAAAGAATCGAAGTGTAAGGAGTAGGCAACTGTGTTGAGAAGTGAATAAGATCTTAGAGTATCTTTATGAACTCAGAGGTAGTTCTGAATTGATTAGTGTAGAGAAGTGTTTCTCAACCCATTGGTCACAATGCAAAAGTGGGTCGTGAGAGTATATGAAAGGGTCGCAAACAAACTTTAAAAATGGATTCTCCTTTAAAGGAGAAAAACGTGAGAAACTGTGACTTTTCCCTTGCACGCTGGCAGAGTTCTAGCCTGCAAAGGGCTGCTGGGGGCTCCCCATGGTGTGCACATATGTCTTGATAGACAGCTCTATTAATAGCTGGGACTCTATGAACTCCACTTCCCCTGTGTACCAGGTTTACAGATGACCTGAATCATGAATATTGCAACCTGAATCATATTACAAAAACATTAACTCATTTAAAATAGAAATATTACAATGAAACCCATAGTCCACCACAACCAGTTTTTCCTTTTCCTTTTTTTTTTTTTTTTTTTTGTTTAAATTTGGTTAATTATTGACAATCTACCTTGCCTTTGTCAGTGGGCAGTTTCTTGTAGGCAACAGAAATGGGACAAGGGAGGGCAGTGATTTTCCTGACTAGTTCAATAGGGTAGTCTGTGCCTGGGGAACTGCTCAGAATGAAGTATGAAGTGCTTGTGATAAAAGTGGATAAATAGAGATCAGGACAAAGATGGTAAAATAGATGATGTACCTGCGAAGCAGGGCCATAGAAAGAAGATAAGCTGTGAAGTGCCTAGAAAGTTTTTCTCTCATTCAGTTGTAATTTTATAACAAAAGACCAGGAGGATGGTTCCAATAATAGGGCTTTGAATGTTCCTAAGAGGGAGTAATGTTGGGGTTAGGATAGTTAAGAAAAGAACTGCAACAATCAGATGAAGGCCAAGATCAGATTTTGTATCTTATAGTCAAAAATGCAATATCAAATTTTAGGAGTAAAAAGAGCCAAGATTTGAATACAACTAGAATGTATTGTACTAGAGACAGAGGGGTAGAGGGCAGAGTTAAAGACAAAACCTCCATGTTGGTAATAGATAGGCTGTGTTGCACACAGTCTGATGGTGTGCTGAGAGAGAGAGGTTTCTCTCATTTGAAAACTTAACTATCCACACTACATAAAGGAAAGAATTTTAGAGGCAATAAATTGCCTGCTGCAGATCAGATTTTAGGTGGATGCTAGCTAAAGTTTTAAAGCAAGGTAATTATTTAGAAAGATTGTCTCAAGTGATTTGATTTTACTGTCTTTAGTGGATTTATTTTACCAAACTCTGCAAGTGTTCAACTTTATTGGTCTGGCAACCTAAAATTTTATTACTTCCCTTGTTTAAAAAATCAAAAGTATAGTTCTACTTATAAGATTTATTACTTATATCGACTTCTCACTACTATTTTACAGTTAACAGAATTTATAACTGATGTTGTACTTGGAAATGAAATGTGTAATAATCTTAATATATTCCTTCAAGGCAATATTTGGCATGCAGCACTTAAAAAAAATAAAAAACAACAACAACAAACCAAAACCCACTATTGTATTGTAAGATTCATAAATGCTTTGATCCTGGGTGATAAAAAAGATATCAGACATTTTTGGCAATGTATTGAAGATGCATTATGTCCAAAAACACTGCCTGGAATAGATTTTTTCTGTGCTTTGAATATTTTTTTCTGCAGCATTTTTGTCAGAGACAGGTGTTTTGTGGGGTTATGTTAATCTCACACATACACAAAATCAGAGCTACAATCTCTGCTGTGTGTTACTAGCTCAGCTCAGCCTAAATCTGTTGTGACTAGCAGTCACTGCCATTTGATGAATATGTGTCCAGGTGAAATGGTGAGTGTTTACTGTATTATAAAACAGAACAAAAAAAATCTCCTTGCATGAACATCATTGATTAGCACTTTTGTTGGCTGATACTTCAGAGATGGAAAGGCTCCGAATGAATGTGTAGACGGAATCTTCTTTCTTAGAAATGAACAATCAATAATGGAATAAAAGCAAGAAGTACAGAAAACTTACGCTGTCACTTGCAATAATGTACCAGTTATCTGGATGTAAGAACTCTGGTCTAAAATAAACCTGTACCAATATATTATATAACAGGAATTTATTTGCAGCCCAAGTAGCCAAGGGAATTGAGTACTGAAATTGAAAATATGCCTTTTATTATTCCTAGAAAATGATCATACATATAATGTCCCATATTGTCCTGCAGGTTACACTTGTTATGCATTGCTGGCATAAGGCAGTTGTATCACTCTATTATATGGTTATATCACTCTATTATCATGGTATAAAGGTAGGAATAATGTAAAACAGGGGTGTCAAATTAGCTGATGAACCTTTGCCTGCCAGCAGCCAGGAGATAGGCCATAAGATGACTTGTAGGGATTCTCCTGGCCTGGACAACTTACTGCTGGGCATATTGCTGCTAGAGCCACTGTGTTGGCATAGCCAGCATCCAGGGGGTTAATGCCACTGTTTCTTACCCCTTTTATCATTGCTGACTGATACTGATTTTAGTTACCAATGGTGACTGAAAACCAGAAAATTGTCAGTAAGTAAGGAGTGGGCAAGCAGGCCGATAGCATTTTCAGGATCCATGTTAACAGGCGAATTACTTACTGGAATTACTTACATGAGTGAGTGTTTGCCAGTCTGTGGATTTGATTGTACAATCTAATTATATTTGGGAGTATAGGCTTTCATCTTTTTCCTACCACATAATATTTACATTACTCGAGTTTATGCACATTTACATGCAGTTGTATACAATATTTTTTAATAATAATATATGTTTCAAAAATAGCAACTGTTTTTGGTATTTCCATGGCTTGAAAAGTAGGCCAAGCTTCAAGGGTCTGTAGATTGAAAATGTGGATACTGTCTGCCTTCTCTAGATTTGTAGCCATCTCTTCACAAATTAGAGATTTTAGCCTAGACTTTCCTTTATCGTCTTTATTATTGTTATGATTCATTTTTTCAAATACTTCTCTTAGGAGCTGTTTTCTTTGAATGTTTTCTTAGGAGCTGTTTTCTTTCTAAGGCAGCACACAATTTGGGATCTGTAAAGTCCATTGGACTAGCAGTAAAGAGGATGTACACTTCTTCTCTATTCATCGCTTTGATTTATTACCGAACTGTTCGGAGCTGGAAAAGATCTCATCATTAGTCGTAGTCACAGAGATCGAAAATTATTGTCATAGTATTCTCAGTTTCCAGCAAAATTCTGTTAAGTAGGCAGGCAGAACCCTTTGCTTCTTAAGGAGCTTCTTAATGCAATATGTTTTCTATATATATATCCCTAGAGTGTTGGGCTGTACTTTTCCTACTCCTACTTCAATTCTTACTCACTTATTTATTCATTCAATTAACATGCCACCCTTCCTGACAAAGGCTCAGGGCAGCTTACAGAAAACAGCAAAATAACTTATGAAAAAGGCAACCAAGAATACAGAACAAGATAAGCAAATAACTTTGAAAACCAATGGAGTATTAAAAAAACCTATAAAGATTATTTTATTTAAAGCTCTCTAAATAGTATCTCAGCGTATCCTTTCCTTCTAAATGCCTTTATTTTGAGGTATCCTACAGTCATGG